GATGGATGGATGGATGGATGGATGGATGGATGGATGGATGGATGGATAGACAGACAGACAGACAGACAGACAGACAGATAGATAGATAATGGATAGATTGATGGATGGATGGATGGATAGATGATGGATAGATGAGGGATAGATAGATAGATTGATTGATTGATTGATTGATAGATAAATAGATGGGTGGATGGATGGATGATAGATAGATGAGGGATAGATGGATGGATGGATGGATGGATGGATGGATGGATGGATAGATAGATAGATAGATAGATAGATAGATGATAGATAGATGAGGGATAGATTGATGGATGGATGGATGGATAGATGATGGATAGATGGATGGATAGATGATGGATAGATGATGGATAGATGATGGATAGATTGATATAGATAGATTGATTGGTAGATTGGTAGATTGATAGAGAGAAAGACAGACAGGCAGGCAGGCAGGCAGGCACAGAGGCAGAGAGGCTGAGAGACTGACTGACAGAGAGACTGATGAACAGACTGTTGTTACAAAAATTACAACTCCCTGTTTTGGCTTTGAAGGTTGGCGACATAGTAGAAGTGCTAGCAGATGACACCTTTCCTTGTGATCTAGTTTTACTGGCCTCAAGTAACAAGGAAGGGACCTGCTACGTCACGACTGCCAGTCTAGATGGAGAATCAAATCACAAGGTAAGCGGACAAGTGAACCTGCCCTTGCGGTTTTCTCGCCAAGAGATCTGGATGCGGCTCGCCCTCGTCTCCCGCTAGAACTCTTAAGAGTCTCCTGGTTTCTAGAGCTGGTTTCTTAACTGCTGGTTTCCAATGAGTTTGCTCCCTGCAGGTATCTTAGAAAACAAAACAGATCCAAATACGCGGAAAAGATTGGGTATAAAATGCTTTTTTTAAAAAAGTTTTGTTTTTAAGAAAAAGTATTTCCATCATAGGTGTAATTGTAGGATCTTTGAGCTCAACCCTCGCTTGTAAAAATTATTTCCTTCCTCATATGTGATTTATCATTCCCCGCTTTTATCATTTCCCAATTTTTTCTGGCAAGAGAAATATGTCTCATTCAACTGAAAAGGAGAAAAATGTCAAAATAATGAGCATGGGATACATTGGTGAGAGTTCAGTTTATGAAGATGGATTGCCACTAGAGATCTTGCTGACAGAACTGATCTATAACTCCTGAGCAGTTTCTGGAAATAGGAACTCCTACATACACACACAAACACACACAAAAGAGGAACTTTTAAATCCCGCGTTACCTTCTTAAAGACGTTTCCTGATTACCTGCAAGGTGTGAAACCTCCTTTTCCAACATCATTCTGAAACCTCAGTCTCAGACAATCCTGACCATCTCAGCTTCAAGTTCTTGAGTCCTTTTTAAAAAGAAATTTGAGATGTCTCCCATGATCAGTTTGCAAGGCCATTATTCAGTCCTGAAATGAGTTGGGCCCCCAGATATAGAGTCAAAATGAAGGATGGTATAAGCATCTGGTTTATCTTGGAGGATTGTCCCCACGAGGTTTAGCCAAGCTATGAGGGGAGGGATGGTGCCTAGTAGACACATTTATCGATTTATGGATACGGAGAGTTTTGCAAAATGGTTGACCTGGAGAAGCTTGTCTTAAAATGGCCGCTGCGGTGAGGGCAGAGCTGGTTGCCAAGTAGTCCTGTCTTAGAAGCAAAGCGGGAGGTTGCTCCCAATATACCTGGTATCAGCTTTGTGAGATAGTCCAGACAGGAAGCATGGCCAGATGAACTAATTCCACTTTATTGTAAGGTTGCAGTAACAGAATCTTGCAAATCTGAAGCTCTCCTCTGTCTTTACAACTCAAGAAACTAAGACGCACCCCTTGTAAGATGTTTTCCACACTCCATTACTTCTCTGGGCTCAGCTGCCTCTTATATGATCATGGCCTACTTTGTGGCTCTTCCTTCCCCATCCCCCAAGGCCATTCTCACAAACCATCCAACCCTCTAATCCACCTAGATGTCCTTAGTTTTCTCTTCTGGGCATCCTTCCAAACAGAGCAGTGGGGTCTACAGCTGCTCACTAGAGATATGTCAGAGACAGGGTGAACTCAGAGACATTCATGGAAATAAAAGTGATACCAGAAGATGGGCCTTGCTTTCTCCTACCTTTTTTTTTTTTTTTTGTAGTTCCTGTGTTCCTTGTAAATGCCTAAAAATCAGAGTGGAACTGAGCGTCTAATGAACAGCCAAGAAGTTTGACATTAATCATGGAATGGTTTGATTCCCATCATAAAGTTTGTTCACTCATTGCTGCATAAAATTAACGCCTGCATTTCTTGGGTGGATCATTAAAAATCGTCTCTTCTTTTACTCTAAAGAGCTCTTAGATGAGAAAGCAGGAAGAAAGACAAAGGAAAAAGAGAAACAGAAAGAGGAAGAGAATAATCAAGTTTTCCTTTTACTTTATATCTTTCTGCACCTCCTTTTCTATCTCTCTTTTTACTCTTTGTCTTTTTGCCTGATTATTAGTTTAAGTTAGTTTTTATTTGCACATTTTTGTAAAAAAAAAAAAAGAAATCCAATAAAATGGCCGTGCAGCTGTAATCTTAAAAACCCGAAGCAGCTGACAAAATACAAATGAATATCACTCAACGATGCTTCAAATTGTGGATTTAAAATTAGCAGGAGTTGTTTGGCTGCTGGTGGTTCTTCAGTTTTGTGTGTCTTCGCTTTTCTAGACTCACTACGCTGTGCAAGATACAGCCAAGATGAATACAATTGAAGCCATGAACAGTTTGGTTGCCACTGTCGAATGTGAACAACCCCAGCCAGATTTGTACAGGTGAATTTTGACGTGGAGGCCTTCCCTTTTTGTGGAAAGCCCGACGGATGGATCGTCTTTATTTCTTTACCAAGCCTGCTTCTCCACTCCTCACTTCCTTCCTTTAAATTTAAACTGCTGTAACTCCCGTATGAAAACGAGACATTGACAGTAGTACATCAACATCCTTCTCTGTGCATGTCCCAACAGGTTTGTGGGCAGAATTAACATCTACAGCGATGAACCAGAGCCGTTAGCCAGGTGGGTTCCTTCGCTTGATGGATTGGGATTTAACGTCTTGTAAAATAATTAGCTGTAGTGGAGGATGGAAAAGACCTGGAAGAAGGTATAGTATGTGTGGCAAGGATGGGGGAACACGAACTTAATCTGGGAAAACGGGAAGGTAAGGAAGAAACTCAAAGCAGCTTCACCTTGATTCTCTTTGGTATAAGTGCAACGTTGTTGGGCTTCCAGTAGTGTGTTATTTTAGCCTATATCCCTAAAGTTCTAATATTTCTGATAAGATATGTTTTCCTATCTTCTCTATTTCAAAGGGCTGGCACAGCTTCTTTTTAATATCAAGGGTTATCACATTGAGGGTAGAGAAATCCAGATGATCCCTTAGATATCAGCTGTGAAATCCAGGTGATCCCTTAGATATCAGCTGTGAAATCCAGGTGATCCCTTAGATATCAGCTGTGAAATCCAGGTGATCGCTTAGATATCAGCTGGGAAATCAAGAAGAGCCCTTAGATATCAGCTGTGAGATACAGACTCTCACTTTGGATGCCATGATCTTAGTGGTCGTCCAAATTTTTGAAGTAGTCCTGTAATCCCTGCCTCTGATTTCTCTCCCTCACCTATTAATTTTACACATTCCCCGTATACTGAGTTGTCGTAATGGACTTTGTAGCTATGTCATGTTCTAAATAGTTGTGGATTTTTTTTTCTTCCACCAATGGTTGGCCGTCGGAATTTTCCATTTGCTTCCTATCCTTTATTAGTTCATAATATGAAATTCTCCCAAATAGAAAAGAAAATAGTGGGAAAGTAAAAGAAGGAGAAGAGAAGGGGAAAGTGCAGGGCAAAGGGGAAAGAAAGAAAGAGAGAGAGAGACACAGAGAGAGAGAGAGAGAGAGAAGGCACGGACTTTTGCAAAATAATATAAACTGGCTCTTTCTATAACTGCAAATGTTATCTAATCAGTAAATTTTCATATATTTTTTTTTACACCTCAAGCACAAAGTCCAGAAGCGGTTTCCAACTAAAAACAAATGCAATCGTGTTTTTTTTTTCCTCCTGTAATCAAAGCCATTTAATCATCTCTGCTAAATGAATTCAGTGATTCATCAGTTGCTTCTCTTCTTACCAATGATCTGATCCTCCATTTTCGTTTTTAGACCGTTGGGTCCCGAGAACCTTTTGCTGAAAGGAGCAAAATTGAAAACCACCCCAAAGATTTACGGTGAGCATTTTCCTGCTTTTCTTTCGCATCCATTGATTTCCTTGAGAGTTGCGATCCTGGGCGTGTCTGGGATTTCTTTTGGAGTAGGCATGTTGAAGATAGATCATTGTGCCTAACCACGTTGCTGCCTCTTTCTCTCTCTCTCTCTCTCTCTCTCTTTCTCTCTCTCTCTCTCTCTCTCTCTCTTCTTTTCCTTTCTAGATCTTCAATGGTTCAGGAGCTTCTCTCTCTTCTTTTGCAGGAGTTGCTGTATATACTGGGATGGAAACCAAGATGGCATTGAACTACCAAGGGAAGACTCAGAAACGCTCTGCAGTTGAAAAGTAAGCTGAATGTATCTCCCCCGCATTCTTTGTCTTTATAAACATTGGTTTAAAGCAAAACAAAAGAGATGTTTATTTGAGCCTGGGTTGTGTACAAAACATAGCCGTCTCTTCTATGCCCTCCTCAGACCTTCAGGAGGGGATTACTATTTACAGATGGCCTAGCGACTTAGGCCAGGGGTCCTGTAATTCCTGAAGTTGGATCCTTTTCAACCAGAGGTGGTATTCAGCCGGTTCGGACAGGTTGTGGAAAACCGGTAGTGGAAATTTCGGAGAACCGGCCAATCCTACCTCTGACTGGCCCCGCCAACCCCATCTCTTCTCTGCCTCCCATTGAGTCCCAGCTGATTGGCTGGGTCTTCTTTGGTTGCCCTGCACAGGAGAACTAAGTTGGAAAGCAGGTTATTGGGGTGGGGAGGGAATGGGGATTTTGCAGTATCCTTCCTCCCCTGCCATGTCCATCTTCACCTCCATGTTGGTTCACCCCTCCACAGCAGTCCCAGTGTCTCATGTGGCCCGTTGAGGAAATCCATTGCACATCCCTGGTTTCGATCTAATGTCTGTCAAGCCAGTGCTTTGACATTGCCAGGAGCAAGTTCTCGCATCCCTTTGTGCGTACTGTTTGTGAAACGCCGGGCGTCGCCCTAACTCTTGGAACGTTGGACTTTCCAGGTCAATCAATATATTCCTGTTGTTCTACTTGTGCCTGCTGGTGAGCAAAGCTATCATATGCACTACTTTGAAATACATCTGGCAGAGTGTCCCATATCACGACGAACCCTGGTACAACCCCAAAACCCAAAGAGAGAGAGAAGCTTTCAAGGTAGATCAGTTGACTTGTGTTGGCTGACGGTTGTCTACCTTCGGATTTGTTCCATTTATGGGTGCTTGATGCCTCTTGCTCAGTGTGTCTCTGTGTCCTTTTCAGCTGCTAAAGATGTTCACTGATTTCCTGTCCTTCATGGTCCTCTTCAACTTCATTATCCCGGTCTCCATGTATGTGACTGTCGAGATGCAGAAATTCCTAGGCTCCTTCTTCATTACCTGGGACAAAGAGATGTATGATGAAAATATCCAAGAAGGCGCCTTGGTGAACACCTCTGACCTCAACGAAGAACTTGGGCAGGTGAGTCACGTCTCCCTGTACTTCCTACCATCCGACAGAGGCAAATATTAGCTGGTCTTCTCCCCAGGGTGGGATTCTACTGGTTCGGACTGGTTTGGGTGAACCGGATGTTAAATTGACATCTGGTTTGCTGAATCACTAGTTGAACTGACCGGCTGGCACCGCCCACCCTGTCCCGCCCCTCCCAGGAGTCTCCACGTGGCCTGTTTCGGATGCAGGTAAGTGCAGGATCAGCAGGAAGGAAAAATGGGCCGAACCGGAAGTTCCAGAGGCCCAGTAACGGGCCTGTTTCCAGCTTCTGGAGCCCAGGGGAGGCTGTTTTCGCCCTCCCAGAGGCCCGAGGGAAGCCTCTGGACCCTGGGGAAGGCAAAAAACGGGTCAAACCAGAGGTTCCAGTAGGCCATGCCCACCCAGCAACCAGGCAGCGAACCGGTTGCTGGGATTTTTGAATCCCACCCCTGCTTCCACCCTTCTTGCCTCTGGTCTTCTGCAGAAAATGCAGATGGTATCTGTTGTTACCAAACAGTAATGGACACAGATTGGGAAGAACTCCAAGGTGCCTTCCAAGTCCTATTATTCTGGTGACTTCTTGTTAGCAACCCAAACGAATCACGGTTCTCAAATCGGATATAGGGCGAATGCTACTCTTACGGTGGGTATGTGTCCATCTGGTTGAACTCTTCCACCATAGCTGCTTCTCCAAAAAGAAGCTATCTTTGCGGACTTGAACAAGGAGACCTTCCTCTAGAGAAAAGACGCTCGTGAGTTGGAATTCTTTGGTTTTAGTCTCCAGTTTCAATTCCGATTTAAAAACAAGATTTGAGTTTCTCCCGCTGCGACTTGAAACACAATATACACATTTAAAAATTTAAAAAGAAGGAAGGGAAGATGGAAAGGGAACTGAAGATGGCACTGCTTAATTTATTTTTTAAAATTACTTCCCTTTCGTGCACAAGCGTTACTGCTGACTTTGTTTTATTTTAAAGGTCAGTATTGGGAAGTGGGAAAAAAAACCCCATAGATGCTCTGGCATAAAATTGTGCCTGTCTAATCTGTTCTAAAATTGTGCCCCTCTTAAAAAAAAGCAAAAAGCAAATGGTCTTCTATTTTTCCTTCTAGGTTGAATATGTGTTTTCGGATAAAACAGGGACTCTAACGGAAAACACCATGGAATTCATTGAGTGCAGCATTGACGGCTACCGATACTGTGATTCCTTTTCACAAGTGGATGCAAAGAGGTCTACAGGAAAAGCAGACAAGGTACAATGTTCCCCTTCCACATTTCCAGAACTGGAGGTTGGAGAACAGAAGACTTCTGGGCTTCTTCTGATTTTTAGATTGCCCCTTTTTTTGTGGGATTCATAGCTGCCTCTGCTTGGCCTCTCTAGATCTCTACAAAGGATTTAAGTCCTTGTTCAAGAGAACCTCTAGTCAATAAGGAAGCAGCAGAGTGCTTCTTGTGAAGTTGAAGATCAGTAGCCCTTGTAGGCAGAGATGGTATTCAGCCGGTTCTGACCAGTTCTGGAGAACCAGTAGCGGAAATTTGGAGTAGTTTGGAGAACCGGCCAATACCAGCTCTGACTGGCCCCTCCCCCATCTATTCTCTGCCTCCTGAGTCCCAACTGATCGGCTGGGTCTTCTTTTTTTGCCCTGCACAGGAGAACGGAGCTGGAAAGCAGGTTAGAGGGGTGGGGAAGGAATGGGATTTTGCAGTATATCCTTCCCCTGCCATGCCCATCAAGCCGTGCCCACAGAATCAGTAGTAAAAAAAAAATTTGAATCCCACCACTGCTTCTTGGATAGGCCCTGACACCCTTGGATTTATACCTGCTTGCATTAACCATTAACCTGGGTGAGGAGAAGGGACACTCTATCCGGTTAATTTTAAGTTAAGCTGATTTAATATTTTACAACATATGGCAGGGCTAAAAATGCTGACGCGCAACTGCCCAGCTCGGTAGATCAAGGGTGAAGGATACAGTAGGACAGTTGGACAGTTGGAAGCAGCCATCTTGGACTGTGGGACCTGAACGTTCTCCCAGTTTAATGTAGGTCCTTCTCTTGGTTTACCTCCTTTCTAGAAACAAGAAGAACTGTTCCTTCGAGCATTGTGTCTCTGTCATACGGTTCAAGTCCAGAAAAAGGACGAAATCGATACCGTGACGTTGCAGCCCAAAACGACCCAAATCTACGTTGCAGCTTCTCCAGATGAAGTGGCTTTGCTACAGGGGGCTCAGAAGTAAGGCCATTTCCCCCCACTGTGTTACTTTTTTCCCCTCCCAGGTTCATTTCAGTGTCATGCAGGCCGTTGACAAACGGCCAATTCCATCATCGGGTGCTGAGAATGTTGATATCTTGCACGATTGACTCACCAGGGACATAGGTTCCCATGCCCCCAGCCTATACATATATAGTTCTTGTCTTACAATCATAATCGAGCCCACCACGATAGTGGTCATTAAGTGAGTGTGAGGGAACCACGCCCGATTTTTCATACTTGTTTTGTGGCAGTCATTTCCAAGAACGCCACAGCAGTTACGCGAAGGTGATTGTTAAATGAATCCAGGTGGTTTTGTGCCAGGAACAACATTGCATGGACCGCAACAAAGATGGCTTTGGGTTTGATTCAAGAAACTTCCTGTATAAACCTTCGTGTTGGTGCAAAACTCACGCCGAGCAAATTCTGAACTCCCCTTAACACCTGGCAGGGTGATAGGTTTCCCAACAGAAGTGTAAGTGTAGGGTCTGGCACTCGTACTGATTGTGCTTTCAGGCTTGAAAGGTTAAAATCGTGTGCCTCACTTTGAAGTGGTTTCTGATGTATGAGGGCAGATTCTCCCTTTTTGACTTCGGAAATTAAATACAAAAATGTCAACTCAAAATGTCAACTCCGTAGCCTATGAACAACCCCGTTCCAAATCACCTCTCCGGTCAACCTCCCTCTTCTGCAATCTTTATTTTACTTTGCTTTATTTAAAATCCGCTGGTTTGTTTGTTTGCTTGATTGTTTCGTTTTGTTTTCTTGTTTTGGTACCTAAAGGGTGTGCCTGCGTGATGCACCGACGTGAGCGTGTGTGACTGTGTGTGCATTGGTTTTTTTTTTTTTTTCAACGCCATTCTGTCCTTTTTGTTCATTGACAGGTATGGTTTCACTTTTCTAGGACAAGAAAATAACATCATGGCGGTAGAGAATTCCAAAAAGCAAATTGAGAGGTAGGTCCGTTTGCAGGTTAGGCTCCTCCGAGGAAGCGGGTTTAGTCCCAGGAGCACGAATTAAGTTTCAGAAAGGATCCAGAATTGAACCGGCTGGTTTAATTTTGGTATTTTTTCCCCCCCGCTCTGATTTATTTAGCCGCATTCATGCTAAACTTCTCACCTTCATTTCTGCTTCTGCAAGAAAGGGTTGTTGAAGGATGGACCAGTCAGGTCCACCCGTGAGTCCATCCATGTTTTCTCGATGAAACCTTTCACGATACATAACTCAAACTTTAGGCAGGGTTTGGAAGCAAAGCGGCCCGTCACAATCCCTCTTGAGATTTGGCTCCTGAGCCCCCAACTTGGTAAATATGATTGTGATCATCACTATCCAAAAATGATGACAGAGAACAGAATAAACAGAGCCGGAAGGAGGCCTTCTACTCCAACCCTCTTTTCCAAGGAGGAGATCCTGTACCATGGGTGTCCAACCTTGGCAGATGAGATGATGGTGATAATGGTCATCCAAAAATGACGATGGTAACAGATCACAGAATAAACAGAGTTGGAAGGACCTTCTACTCATGATCATCGTTACCATCATCCTCATCAAAACATCAGGGTTCTCAGATGAAACCTTCAAGATTTGAAGGAAGCTTTTAGTCTTTTCATTCATTGTGGTGTCATACCTTGGAGCTGAAATCCATGAAATTCCAGAGAAGTTCACAATATTTGGGACACCATTTTTTTTTTTAAAAAAAAGAAAAAGCCAGGTCAAATAGTGTCTGAGGAAAAAAAAAAGATATACATACAAACATAGCTTTTTAATACCGTTTCCCTGGAATGTTTCTGCAATTCTGTTCTGCAAGTAGTCTTGCTTGTACTTTGCTCTTTTCTTTTTAAATGGATTTCCTCACTTGGAAACCTGACATACACATTTTAAATTATTCCAGTTATGCCTGTTTATTATAATCGGCTTCATTGGAACAACACATGGTTCTGATTTCTTCACGCTTGGCATTTTTCTTGTTTGAGCTTGACGGAGGTTAGAATTTCCATCAGTTCCTCACCACTAAATATTCTTTCTCTTCCCTTTAAAAAAAAAAAAAAAAGATACGAACTTCTGAACATCCTTGATTTTGACTGCGTCCGTCGCCGGATGAGCGTTATCGTGAAGATGCCGGATGGTGAGTAGAAACCTGGGATATCCTCTGATATAGGAGGAAAAGTGCGAACTAGCCGTGTCATCTTCCCCGGGAGAAATGTTCGTATGGATCAGAGGTCTCCAAACTTGGCAACTTTAAGACTTGTGGACTTCAACTCCCAAAATACTGGAAGTTGAAGTCCACAAGTCTTAAAGTTGCCAAGTTTGGGGACCCCTGATATGGACAAACATTCAAAGAATGGCTGCAGGATTTGAGTATGGGTAGTCTGGAGAAGAGAAGCTTTAGGGGATGACATGATAGTAGTATTTCAGTATTTGAGGGGCTACCACAAAGAAGAGGGGGTCGACCTATTTTCCAACACGCCAGAAGGGAGAACAAGAAACAGTGGATGGAAACTAATCAAGGAGAGAATCAATCCTGAATTAATTAAGGAGAAACTTCCCGAAGGTGAGAATAATTAATCGGAGGAACCACTTGCCTTCAAACGTTGTAGGTGTTCCACCACTGAAATGGTAAAGGCTTTCCTGCCTTCCAGCTCTATTCTGAATTTGAATTTTGGATGTAAGCAAGGGGGCATAAGGAGTTTTTTTTTAATGACCCTCTCAGCCATAACTATCTATTTAATCAAATCTTCAATGCTGACCCCATTAGAATATCTCCAACGTTGACATCAACAGATCCAATGCTCTAATTCAGGGGTCTCCAGACCTGGCAACTTTAAGACTTGTGGACTTCTCTGGGCTCCTCTGCCCTGTTTTCCTCAGAGGAACATGAGGGGGTGTGGACGTATCCCTTGTACTTTAACTAACATCAAATTGTTCTGTTTCCCTGTCTTTTAGGAAAAATATACCTATTTTGCAAAGGAGCGGATTCTTCAATTTTCCCAAGGGTCCCTGAGGCTGAAGCACAAAAGACAAAAGTCCATGTGGAACAGAATGCAGTGGTAAGTTCTTCAGACCAGCTGGGGTTGTAGATGTTCAGGATTCCATCATCTTCAACCTAAACCCCAAGAAAAGACATTGGTGGAACCCTTCTCCTCCTCCTCTTCCTCCTTCTCCTTCTCCTCCTTCTCCTTCTCTTCCTCCTCCTTCTTTTCCTTCTCCTCCTCCTCTTCCTTCTTCTCTTCCTCCTCCTCCTTCTCCTCTTCCTTCTCCTCTCCTCCTCCTCCTTCTTTTCCTCCTCCTCCTCCTCTTCCTTCTCCTCCTCCTCTTCCTTCTTCTCTTCCTCCTCCTCTTCCTCTTCCTCTTCCT